AAGCTCCCCCCCACCCCCCTCTTTCTTTAAACAAGTAGTTAATTTGTTTTTTCGAATTTACTCAATTCTGCCGTGATAGAGATTAGCTCAGTTGCTAGCTGATAATATCCTTAGAAACAATGATCATCTAATCTCAAAATGTGACGCTCGACTATGCGGTCTAAACTTGAGTATATTCCATATGATTTAGAAGATTCCACTAAATTAAAGCCGCGAGGATGTCGTGTAAGCAATGTCCCGCTCAGTGTCCACGCCCTCGGGGGCTTGAATGGAGTATTCGTAATTTGACCATATCTCAAGGGTAGTTATAATTACCCTTTTTTTCCCTCCAAACTAGATTCAAAAGATAAGGAAAGTCAATCTTGTAGTCAGTTTTTTTTTTGATAATTAATCTTGTAATCAGTTACCCAAGCCAAATTCGATACAACTAGATCTCTCTCTCTCTCTCTCTCTATATATATATATATATATATATATATATATATATATATATATATATATATATATCAATGGGAGGCGTCCCAATGTATAGGGTAAATTATAAAAACCCCTATGAACTTAGGTTAAATAATGAAAAACACTTCCATCTATTTCTAATTACCAAAAAACTCCTGAGGTTTGTTTCCATCTTACAACGATCCCTTACAGTGTGACTTTTCACATATTTTTTTCTTTTTGCTCCTGCGAATAGACTTTACACAATATCAAATATGTTCTTTTATTTCTCACCTATTTAACAGAAAGTATAATAGACTATACACATTTTTTGTTAAAAAACTCGACCAACAATTAATCAGAGGGGGAATTTTGATTACTATAGATAGGTGTGAGCGTTTTTCGTTATTCAGCCTAAGTTCAGGGGGTTTCGTAATTTATCCAATTTATATCATATTTATAAATTGATTTTTAATAAGAAAATATGATTGGTGGTGAACAAGGGAGCGGTTCACGTGTGCCAGAAACATGGACCACGATGAACTGGGAATATCATAATTCATAACCAAGACGCTCCTCCATTCTCAATTAAATTCCCACACGTTCATCTTTTTTTATTATTAATTATAATTATAATTACAATAATAATTATTATTTTTATTATTATTATTTGCCAGCCCTAACTTGTACCCACAAATCAATCACAACATTCATAAATATTGTTACGCAATAAGAAAGTTTGTTATTAATATGGTCATACTATCATCTTTTTTTTTCTTTAGTGGGATTATAGTTATACAAATAACTTGAAATAAAATTGTTATCGATCGTTTAGTATTGTCGGCTCATTACTGAATTGTTTCTGCATATTTGGCCCTCGTAAATACGAAATTCTGGCTCTGCCATTGATTGATTTGATTTGTCTCGATTTATGTTGGAGGATATTTTTTTCTTAAAACTATTTATCTTATAATTTATTTTCATTATTGAATTAAATAATGGCCAAATTCTTCCCTACTTGAGGTTTTTATTATTCTTTATTTTTATTTTTTTGTGTGTGGGGTTGGTGGGATTTGATCAATAATGTTGTCTTAGAGCCCGTTTGGCTAAGCTTATTTAAAACATCTTATAAGCTCCTACATCTGATAAGATGTTTTAGGAGCTGATAAGCTGTTAGATCTTATTTTAAAAATTGGTTAACTGCAAAAAATCCCCCAGACTTTGGACGTATTTGC